GTAAAGCTCATGTGTCGCCTTTTGTACCCCTTTTAACGACTGATGCCTTCGCAAAATAAAAATTGAGAGATGCCCTTTGTTGCCTTTTGTAGTCCTTTTAATAACCGATACCTCTTCCAATTAGAAACCGAGAGATGCCCTTTTGACAGCGCATGCTCGGCAGGTGCTACCCAAACAAGACTGTCAATATACTCCACAATTTCAGTAATGTGTATTCTACCCTTAATCTCAAACGTTTTATTTTTGGCTGAAATTGGATCATACAAACAAAAACCACCATCAACTTTAAGAAGAAACTCATTGTGTAATGTGATTCCATATGGAATTATACCACCACTCAAATGAGAAAAGACATGGCGTTTCACCCATGATGCAGCCACCCTATACTCCTCCATCACCCACACCTCACATTTACCACCTTTGCCTCTTGATATCACACAAAGTTTTCCAGACAAAACTCCTACAACATTATACCAATGAGTGTAATCTAGTATAGAATCTGGAAGAGGAATCTCACAAAATGTCTCTGCACCCAAATCAAATGCCACTATTGTACGTGCTTTCATCTCCTTATCAATATAAAAAAGCCAATGAAGATAGCTGTCAATGTCATCTACATCAACTTTGTTTTGATTGGAAATGACGTGCGGTGGAAGCCTTTGACTTATCAACTCCCAGGAACCCTTTCTCATGCTATAAACCTCACCTTTCGCTACCTCGTTGCATGGTTGGAAAAGGCTTGTAAACTTAACGACTTTGTAATCATCGGTTTTTGGATCAAATCCAAACCTTAAATAGATTTTTTTTGATATACGGGTGGACAATGAATATGGGGGGAGAGTTAACACAGCGGAGAGAGAAGGGTTCCAAATATGAATGAGATAATCATCATTGTATGATTTGTAATAAAAGCATATTAAGCCATTCACAGATCCGATGACAGTGTAACTACTGCTTTCAAATTGGGTATTAACCGGAAGTTTGTAAAAACGAGTGAGTTTGATATCAGGTGAACAAGAGTGGCGTCTTATGAACAGATCATCGATAAATGAACAATGGAAGAACAAGAGAATATCATTGTTGTTATGGGTAGAATGATGGAGGTGGGATTTTATAAAGGATGATTCAGATAAGAGAGCATTCCAAGATTTACAGACGCATCTCATTTGAGCAAGTTGTTTGGCCAATAACCGTATGAATATGTCTGATAAAACTTCACCTGGGAGATTCTCCATAGTCGTTAGGTGACGTGGTAGCAGGTGAACCTGTTAAAAAAGAAAAAAAAAATTAGAGAAGGACCAATTCCAATTAACTAGATCAAAAGCACAAAGGAAAAAAAAAATGAAAACATTATAACTTGAGCATATTGATCTTCAACAAACTCTAACATAAACCCTTACAGAAATAATTACTAGTTACAAAACATTTTAGCTTAAACACAAATTGAAAATGAACCCTAGCAACAAAACATATGAAAATTTAGCTCTGTATACATTGCATAATCGTAATGAAGCTTTTCAAAAACTGTGAAGCTTTAAAAAAGGAAATACCTACTTAACCTTGAGTTCTTTTGGTCAAGACTTAAATCTTTTTCAGAAAAAAAAAGAGTGTTGCAGAGGTTTAACATCAATTTGTCGGTTCATTTTCTAGGGTTTCCCTGCTCAAAACATTTGCTTGTTGTTGGTAAAAATTACTTCAATTGACATTGGTTTATGAGTTAAATTCAGTAAAGATAGATTTTAGGGAGAATATTAGGTTGTTTTGGTGACATTGGTCAGAAGAGCGTCAGACAATGTAGAGATCAAGAGAGCAGGTGAATTTTTTGGGAGATGGATCTGTTCACCAAAGGACAGTAAAGTAAAGTCAAACAAATAAAAAGAAGAGAGCTTTCTTTCAAAAAATTTTTTACTAATTATAAGCAATGATTTCAAGGGAAAAAAATTATTTTCCTTTTTTTCGTATTCTTTTCATCTTTAATGAAACTTGAGAAGAAATTTCGTTGTCTTTTTCTTTCGTTCTCTACTTAAAATAAAATAAAAATTCTGAAGGATGCAAAATTCATTCTCTTTTCGTCCTTAAAAAAATATATATAGAACATGATATTATAGTGTCACGATCCGTAAATCCATCCAAATATATAATAGGATTAGCAACCATCAAGCCAACTTGGCAATTTTTTAGTTTTTAGTTTTTACTTCATATAGCAAACAAATAAAATATTATATTTTTTTGTATTTTTATTTTAAACACTACATTTTTTTCTTTTGTCAATGTGCAACCTACTGGGGGATTGTGGTGTTGTTCCAGTCTTTTTTAGGATGCAACTCTAGATTTAACACATAATACATCAAATCCAATCGACCTTTATAACCATTGTTCGTATTCCTGGGAACGTTCAACATTGTTCCAACTAGACTCTCTCTCACATTCTTTGTAATGTGCATAAAATCTAAACAATGTGGAATCAAATTGTGTCGCCAGTACCTAAGCCGTCTAAACCATATATTAAATTTCTTCTGGTATGTGGTATCTTATTGGCTAACATCTGAAATACCCACTTTTTGATTTTCTCTTTTTTGTTATCTTCCCACCTCTTTCGGTAGAAGCTTGTTGGAATTCTGATTTCTTGCCCTTAGATACTTTTCCCATTTATTAATTATAAATTTGACCTTGTTATATATTTCTTCCCCAGTCATAGGTACTGAAGATGGTGATAACTCTTGTTTTCCATTGAACACCTTGTTTTGTCTTCTGAACGGGTGCTCATATGGTAGATATCGCTTGTGACCGACATAACTTTGCTTATTTGATTCAAGGAGTCTAATACAGTGTGTTTGTTTGCCAAAAACAACATAAACTTTGAACCTACTGTAAAGACACCCACATAATGTACCAAGAGCAGGGTAATCATTAATCGTCCATAACACAACTACATGTAAATTAAACTTTTCTTGTGCTAGGAACACATCGTTTCGTAGTGTTCTCGATAACAATAACGAAAGCATGAAATACTTTCTCTTCATACACAACCATGGTAGAAGGTTGTAAATGACAGTTAAAATAGGCCATACTCTATGATTCCTATTTCCTCTATTCACATCAACCCTGTCAACCGAAATGTCTAGCTGCAAATTTCTTGGTTCACTAGAAAAGTCAGGAAAATTCTCATCTATGGCAACCCATGCTGGTGAATCTGTTGGGTGACGTAAAACGCCGATATCCACCTTTCTGTCGGTTGCGTGACATGTTAAATCTTTTGCAGTAGTCTTTGAATGAAATAGTCGTTTCATTCGCAGAATAATTGGAAAGTACCATAGGACTTTTGCGGGAATATTCTCGTAAACTTTATTTTTTTCTTCATCCACCTTCCATCTTGATTTACCACAACTGGGACACACTGTCGTGTCTACATATTCGTTCTTGTAAAGTGTACAACTGTTGACACATGCATGTATCTTCGTATACCCTAAAGTCTTTGCTTTGAATGTATTTTCAATCTAATATGATGCAAAAATACAAACAATAAGTCAAAATACTTATACATTTCTTCAAACTCATTTATTGGAACAACAAATTTGGAAATAAAAACAAAGGACAAAAATAACCTTGCTTCCACTCACTCTCAATCCGTTTAGATATGTTATGAAACTCAAATAACTCAAAAAAACCAAACTACCCTTGGACTCAAAACAGAAAATCAAATAACTCTAGTAACTACACCAATTCAAATGAAAATCAAATAACCAAAAAAGACCAAACTACCCTTGGACCCAAAACAGATAATCAAATAACTCTATTAATTAAAAAAACTCAAATGAAATTCAAATAACCCGAAAAAAACCAAACTACCCTTGGACTAAAAACACAAAATCAAATGACTCTAGTAACTACATCAATTCAAATGAAAATCGAAATACCAAAAAAGACCAAACTACCCTTGGACCCAAAATAGATAATCAAATAACTCTAGTAACCAATTCAAATGAAAATCAATTAGGGTTAAATATTGGCTAATCATCACCACAAACCACCATTACATCACACCCATGAAGGTTATCCTATTTTTCTTGGAACTCACCTTGTTTGTCATGTCCCTAACACCATAATAATGTATAAACTATTAAAGACTAGGTGTAAAACCCATGTATTACATGGGTTAATTAAAAAAAAATTAAATATAAAAGTTTAAATATTTAAGGACTTTTGATTTATAAAAAATAAGAAAAATAATGACTTATTAAAATTGATTTTTTTTATATTTTAAATTTAAATAAATAAACAAAATAAACTAATGAACTTTAATTTGGAATTTTGAAATAAGAAGGTAAGTCCATTAATGAAATTGATATTCATTTATTACTACATTTATTGTAATTATTACATTAAAGTATTATGTGGAATTTATTAAAATAGAAAACTCATAAAATGACATATGGAAAAGAAATTAATTCAAAATAACCATAAAATGACATTTGGCAAATTGAATGAGAGTGTGACATTTGGCAAAAAAAACCTTCATTTATTAGAGTAGATACGATTATGACAAATACACCCCTACTTTATCTCAATCTCAATATGTTTAGTTACATCTTTTAAAGTTTTCTACTGACAATTAACATAATGAATAAAACATAACATGGAAGGTATAAATGTTATAAATAACTCAAGGGAGTGGTCCCATAACAGATAAGACCACAAAAGATCAATAATGGTGAAATAGCATGGTCATCTTACTAACATAATATCTTTCTTTTAACCTTTAAGTTCCAGGTCTTAACATATAAAGACGTTTTTTATTTGTTCTTAAAGTAATAACATTACAAAAAGAGAACAACATAAAATGATAAACTTCAAAGTACAATGCCATTACAAAATATTGCCAATTTTGCATGATAGTCAAAGTACATTGTTGTTGTATTACATTAATCAAAAAAGAATTTCAAAACACTATAAAATTGGATGTTGTATTACATCCACAATAGATAGCATATGTATTATATTTTAACAAACACAAACCTGACTTAACTATAACATATAAAAGTTGCCTACATTAACATTTGCCATACTATCACATTCTCCTTCGCCATGTCCATTACATCTTCAATCTTTTCTCTGGGAATCGTCATGTTAAGCATATGGTTGATGTAGGGAAGTCCGTCATCCATTGTTTCCCTTGGGTCTTCTGTAATCAATAGATGAAGAAGCTTCTCAATTCTCTTTGATGGTGAGTTCATCAAATAGTCAGGGAAATTGATTGACACCTTTTTGGCTTGTGGTCTAGGTATAGTTGTTCAATGTCACGAAAGTTGTGTGCCTTGACCATTGGTTTGAAATTAGCCAAAGTATTCTCGTCCATAATTGGAGTCATGGACAAACCAAGATGCTCTCCAGTAGGCATGTAATACCAGTAACCCATAGTATCACAACCCAAACTCTTTGAAAATCGTTCAAACAATTCAATATCTAGCTTATCTATACTAACACAATTAATAAAGTGAACTTGTGTTTTTTTAGAGGCTTTACCTTGGATCTTCTGTTAATTACAAAAGACCCAAGGGCAACAATGGATGACAGAGTTGTCAGGAGATCCGTTCTCTTCTCAGATGATCCATTCCTTTGTCGCTTGCTCCATGTTGGACAAGACTTCATACCCCAACAATGATCAAAGCCATTCCAGTATATATTTAATGATATTTTCAAACACCCATTTGGGGGAGGTATTGATTTCAGGTTCTAAACCAAATTTGCATCAAGTAAATTTAAGTAAAACTATTGTTGCATGCAAGACTTCATGTTTTTTAAGGCTGCTATACATTTTCGTTGCAACAAGTGTGATCTTTGATGTGTACAAGATGCAACATTTGTTTGACATTTACAGAAAGTTGATTACATAAAAATTAATTGTCTTTTCTGTCCAAAATGACATTTAATATCATGAACACTTTTTGGGTCTATACTCACACTTGTAATGGTATTTACTTAATGTCATACAATACTTGGAAGTCAACAAATAATTTGTATCCACAAATTTATGTCCTGTGGGTCATGGGCATCTGTCTATTTGTCTTTTTCTCTTGATCAAAATAAGTGGTTATTGATCACGTCATTCCCTGTGGAAGATTCAAGTGTATTTTCCTTTTCTTTTTATCCTCATTTGGTCATCTAAGTTACTTCTTCATGAAAGTAAATATAGTATATTTTGAAGGTGCAATTCCAAACCACTTATATAGTAACCCACTATTGAAACAATAAGAAAAATAAAAATACAAAAGTTCATTTGTTTGTTCTTGTTTAAACTTAATGCAAATAGTAATTCAATAGATATAGAAGAAACTATCACACTTATTAAAATGTTTTACTATAAACTTTTATCATTGTGATTAAAATCATATTATAAGAAGCTTTGAAATGGTGAATCAATATAATTTCAACTTATTTATCTAATTGTAATCTCATTATGTTACTTTGTTCATTTCATTGTGATACCATTCTTCCAAGTAGGAATGAGAATTTGGCCCGGAAACCCGAACCGTACCGAAACCCAAACCGAATTAGGCCCGAATAAGCAATTTCGATTCGGTTTTCGGGTATATATATTATGCTTATTCAGTTCTCGGGTTATTCGGC